TGTACCGGCTGTCAATTCCTGAGGAAAAGAAGAAAAAATAAACAAGAAGCACGAAGTATTATCCATTTTCTTGAAATAATTGCATGTAAAAAACAAGAAGGAAAAAAAATACACACACACACACACACAGGTTAATTCATTAGTTATATCTATCGAGTGCCATGTCATGTGGCTTTAAGAAAAATAGTTTTAATGCTTCCAATACTAATGCGAATATTAAAGCTTCAATATTGTAATTAGTGATCGTGGACTAGGCAGCCCCATCCTAAATCATTACCTTTTGGGCAGTCACATTAAAACCCTGGCACGCTAAGCTAACTAGTAACCTCCAAAAGGTGCGTCTCCAGCCTAAATGCTCTCAGATCTCATCTCCTGTTCCTGACTATCACCTCCTCTAGACTGAGCATCGCCCTCTCCACATTAAAGGACCACTATAGTCACCCAGACCACCTCAGCTCAATGAAGTGGTCTGGGTGCCAGGTCCCCCAGGTTTTAACCCTTCAGATGTAAACATAGTAGTTTCAGAGAAACTGTTTACATAGCAGGGTTAAAGAACCACTATAGTGCCAGGAAAACATACTAGTTTTCCTGGCACTATAGGGCCCTGAGGGTGCCCCCACCCTCAGGGTCCCCCTCCCGCCGGGCTCTAGGGTGAGGAAGGGGTTAAACTTACCTCTTTCACCAGCGCCGGGCGGGGAGCTCTCCTCCTCCTCCTAATGCGCATGCGCAGCAAGAGCCGCGCGCACAGCCAGCCTCATAGGAAAACATTCACAATGATTTCCTATGGATGCTGGCGTCTTCACACTCTGAAAATCACAGTGAGAAGCACGCAAGCGCCTCTAGCGGCTGTCAATGAGACAGCCACTAGAGGCTGGATTAACCCCAATATAAACATAGAAGTTTCAGAGAAACTGCTATGTTTATAGAAAGAAGGGTTAACCCTAGCTGGACCTGGCACCCAGACCACTTCATTAAGCTGAAGTGGTCTGGGTGCCTATAGTGGTCCTTTAATCCAGCCTCTAGGGGCTGTCTTCTTGACAGCGCTAGAGGCGCTTCTGCGACGCTGGATGCATAAATCGCAAAAGCATTGAGAAATCCGCTCCACCCGAGAGCTGCCGTCGACAGGGGAGGAGTTGTCATCATGTCTGAGGGTGGGGGGGGGACCTAAGAGTTATATAGTGTCAGGAAACTGTAGTGATCATTCAAGTTTCCGTTAAATGTGTGTGTTTTATCTGCTGTATATAACTCGTTGTAAATTGACCACAACACTTTACAAGTTCAAATTCAGTCACCTACCTAAAATGCAGAGAATGCCATCTGGACTGGATTTGTTGCTTTTAGTGAAGAGCTGCTGTATTTTTCTCAAACGACTGCAGCTGAAATTAGAAAAATCAAAGCTATCATCACCATATCTCTACAGAGTACTAAAATATAAAATAAATACATTTATACGGTTACACATCTTAACAGAGCCAAGACTACCCATGGCACAGTGAGCGGTGCCTGTACAGAAACCTACCACACGTGTTAAGGTTCACCAATAGACAGGCATTTCTGGTAATATTTTAATTAAAATCACTGATTAGATTACAGAGTTACTGAATAGATTACTTGTTTACATCAACCGGTTCTGTGATGGGCCAACCCTGCATTCAAAATATAAAATGGACTACAATTTATTTCATAACTTAAGAAAAACATGACAACACCACTAAAAAGAAGGCATGTGCACAGGCTATTCGTGTCTGCCATGTAGGTAATCAGACACATGGGGGATTAAAGGGACCCTGTCATGTCATGCATGAGGGAGCTTTTAAGATGAAAAGGAAAACAACGAGTTCTGATCTTGCAACAATTATGCATTTTAAATGACTTCTCACATGTCACAATTACATGGTTTATTTAAGCAATCAGCACCTTTAAATCTGTCTGAACACGCATGGAAAGAGTCGTCTCAGAACGTGTTTAAATGCGGCAGAGAGAGTGCATTATGCTGCTTTGTTATTAAGAAAGGCCATTATCATTTAAGACCTTCATCTGCTTAGAGAACGCGAAACTCCTGCAAATGAGCTTTAGCACCATGAGAACCGAAACAACTGAACTTTCTAGAATTACAAAAACAAACAGTGTTTGTAACGATTTCCAACGGCTATGAAAACATGCTGATACATATAGTATGTCGGATGCATGAAAATTGATTTAAAGTGCTAAATGTGGGTCACCATGGAAACCACATTGCCTTAGCGACTGCACCCCTTTTATAGCGTTGCATTATTCGGAATATGACACTTTTCTACAACACCCCCTAGATCTCAGTAGGTGAACCTAATAGACCGTTTCCTTTAACAAGGAACACAAGGTGATGTTACATATAAAGGAGAATTAGCATCTCTTCTTCCAACCCACTGTACGCATGAATAAATGTGTATTTGACCACTTGGCGTATTTTTGCTTCACCTCACTGAATGTAGGAGGGTGGAGGGATATTGTGCTCCAAGCGCACTATTTAAAGCAAGACAAGTTTGAAACACAGCAAGACAATGGCTACCATACAATGTGTAAGCTTTCGATCTCCCCCAAATGTCTCTAAAGACTAAATGAATTTAAAAAAAACAAAAAAAGTTAGAGTTTTAGTTTTATGACAAACCTTTCATCAGGACCACAAAGGTTTGTATTAAAACTAAAAACAAGCTAAATAAAAGCTAACAGGGTTATTTACTAACGTGAGAATTCATGGTGAATTCAAAGCAAATTTCACATTTAAGGCCAAAGTAGATGAATGGAAAGAATAGTCGACAGAGACTTTATTTTTTTTAGCTTGGCTAGTTTGACCTCAAATTTGAAATTCACTTTAGTGAATGAATAACCCTGTAAGTTTTAAGAAGTGCCTAAAATGCTATCTTTTTGCATTCCGATTTATCTTGCGAGGCCACAGAGGGAAACTATAGAATTAGAAATCGTTTTGTATTCCGAACGCTATAGTATTCCTTTAACAGTGAAAGCGCTAATCATGCAATCAGTGCCTTTTCAGATAAATAAGACTTTAAAACAAATAAATAAATAAGAATTTGTCCTAAACATCTCAACATTCAATTTGCAGATCATACATTTTAGAAAGCCAAGGCAATAATGTTCATGGTTGCATGGAGTTATCTAATCAAAATGTACCTTCACCTAGTTCTCTGTTATTACACACATTATTAGGTCAGAGGAAGACAGATTGCACCATAATTACTGCATAGCTACAGCGCGGAAATATAATCATATGCCGGGAACAGGTCGTGTTAGATCTGTACTGCATTCCATGAAAGATACTGCAATCAGAAAATCAGCAAAAACAGACCATGTACCATACATAAACACAATGAACCCTAAACACGTAAGATTACTTTCATTTCAGTGGAATGTTATAGTCCAAGGGTCTCAAAGTACCTGCCACATAACAGGCCATCTCCGGTACCCAAATACTAGAATGATGACAGTGGACACATCTGCATTCTAGGCCATCAACAATAAAATAGCTTATCTGCACGTATCTAGCTCCCCATGAGGCCCCCACAAGAGAAGATGACTTGGCCAACCTGGTGTGTTTGACTCTGCGATGCCGGTTATAGGTCAAGCTGTATTCACACACAATGGCACTAACCTGGGCCCCCCAGCAGTTATGGCCTTAATTTATATTGATGATGCGGAAACAGGAAATCTCAAGAGAGATCTGTGATAGAGGCAGCAATGCTGGTGCCCAGGGAACCTAGATACACGTTCTGTTCAAAACCAGTTTAACTCTTAAAGTCACAGGAATCCTGATAGGTACGAAAGAAAATAGACACTGCTTTTTCACAAAATGGTTCCAAAGGAAGAAATTGGTTAATAGTTTGTGGGGGTAGGAATAAAAGCTACACATGCTATGTTAACCTGTTCAAAGCAGAGATTCGCTACATAGAGCTAGAGCTTTGCATAATGCTGGCCACGGATTCAGGACAGAATGGATTGCAGTGATTTATCTCTAAGAGTACAGCTAACCTGTTAGCTATTAATGGCTTGTATGGAACTCTGGGTTAAAACAAAGTAAACTCTTTAGCATTCAATGCCCAAGTGAATAAGCAATCAGGAATGTGAACACAGGTCAAACATTTCCATTGCGGAACATGTATCAGAAAACGTTGGCTAATGAGCCAAGAAAGGACACGGCTAGAAACTATACAGAGGAACAATGTTTAAATCATGGGCCCAGCTGTCAATTTAAGTCAAAACTGTAACTTTATCAACATTTTGCACAATCTAAGTTACCGTAATTATTAGTTATGGGTGGTGCCATTTCTTTTTCCGCAGGTCAATTATTATTGTTTATTTATTTATTTTTAAATACTGTATGCGGCACAATGGAACGAATGCCGCAAGCACCCATAGGGAAGGGGGGAGTCACACAACATTTCACTGCAGAAGCCCACGCAACCGTGAGTGAACCTTAGTCTAATGCAGGGATAGGCAACCTTTGGCACTCCAGATGTTGTGGACTACATCCCCCATAGTGCTCTTACACCCATATTGCTGGCAAAGCATCAAAGGAGGTGTAGTCCAAAACATCTGGAGTGCCAAAGCTGGCCTATGCCCAGTGGCGTTGCTGGGGGGGGCGGCCAAAGGGGGCCATGGCCCCCCTACATCATGCTGTGCCCCCCCAAATGCTGTAACTTGCTGGCCATGTTCTTAAATTCTATTCCCTTGGACTGTTACAGTGTGTGACAGCCCGAGAGAATGCAGGACAGTCTGGCCAGAGGAGCGGAGTGCTGTCTATGCAGAGATGCTGGGGCCGGAGAGAGCACTGACAGGCTCCCTAGCTGGGGCCCCGCCCCCAAACCAAGCCCAGCTTCCCGTAAAGCAGCAGACCATGCTGCTGCAGAAGATGGCTGTCTGACCCCCAGCAACAGCCTCCAGTGACAGGTAGGCTTGGTGTGTGTGCGCGTGTGTGCATAGACTCTGCAGTCTGTGAGTGTATAGACTCGGCAGTGTGTGTGTGTGTGTGTGTATGGACTCACACTGCTGAGTCCATACACACACACACACACACACACACACACACACTGCTGTGTGTGTGTGTGTGGACTCAGCAGTCTGTGTGTGTGTGTGGACTCAGCAGTGTGTGTGTGTGTATGGACTCAGCAGTCTGTGTGTGTGTGTGTGTGTGTGTGTGTGTATGGACTCAGCAGTCTGTGTGTGTGTGTGTGTGTGTGTGTGTATGGACTCAGCAGTCTGTGTCTATGTGTGTGTGGACTCAGCAGTCTATCAATAATTAAGATTCCTGTGAGTTGTTGTGTAGGAAGGGCCCCAGTGCATTGCTTTGCCCGGGGGCCCTTAACTCTGTTAAAATGGTACTGCTTGTGTGTGTCAGTGAGCTTGTCTTTAGGGAGCTTGTGTGTGTCCCTGAACTTCTGTTGCGAGCCTTGTGTTTATGCAAGTGAGTTTGTCGGTCAGTAAGCCTATTTGCGCATGTCAGTGAGCTTACCGTAATATATATATATATATATATATACACACATACACACACACACACTTTTTTTGACTTGTAGGAATGGCATACATTTTTTTTCCAGGGCTGCTTTGGATTCCCAGTTTGGCTCTGCCAGCGAGTGCACTTTACCGCTGAATCTGTGTGAGCTGCTGCACACTTTAGCCCTGTTACACGCGTCTGGGAGCTGCTGTTGACAGGTACTAGTAGTCTAGAGATTGGGACATGGGGTATATGCTCAGCTATCTGTATAATACAGATCTGTGTGTATATAATATCCCGGGATAGTCAGTGCTTCCTCTATAGTGCTGCTCTCTGTCTTGGGATATTATACCCAAAACCTATATTATACAGAGAGCAGCACTATACAGGAAGCACTGACTACCCCGGGATATTATATACACACAGATCTGTATTATACAGATAGCTGAGCTTATACCCCATGTCCCAATCTCTAGACTACTACTACAGGGTTCACTGACTGTCCCAATTTATTATACACACAACCCTGTATTAGCATCCCTGTAGAGAGCATTGACTGTCCAGGGATATTATAACCAGACAGTAATTGATAGCTGTGCTGCAAAATGTCCTTGGAAATTTTTTTCAAATGTTGGCAACTATGGCACTGTATCAAGGGTAATGTGTTTGTTTTTTAATAATCCCTGGTGGAAAATAATGAATCCTCCACCAGTGATTATAAAAAAAACAAAACACATTGTGTCGGGGCTTAATATGCGGCAGGGGCGGGGTCAAACTGTGGCGAGGGCGGTGTTAAATGTGCCTCCCTACTTTTGTCCTTGGCCCTCCATGTGTCCCCCCTAAAAATGAATCCTAGATACACCACTGCCTATGCCTGGTCTAGTCTAAAGTCTGCCTTTTTCATAAAGAAGAAATAAAGGTTTATTATTTATTAATATCAAGGCGGTCTTTTCTGGTATTCCCCGGCTGGGTCCAATCAGCAAGATATATTGGATGTTTAAACTTTAAAGGAAGTGGAATCACACCTCAACTTCCCGTTAAACGTTAACACACCCTCTACTAGGTAAGATGTGTTAAAGAATTATAGCTTTATCATGGTGTCATGCATGCTTTCTTTTTATGGTGCCAGGAGTGCCTTGGCGTACTCCCAATGTAAGCAATCAAACTGCTTAACTTACCTGGGGTCCACTGAGCACCAACCACCTAGACAGCCTGTAACACCTGCAACAAGCTTCTGTTAACAGTGTTTATAGTGCAATATATGCAGTGTTTATGGTACTTTCTTTTACTAAAGCAGAAAGAGGGCTGCAGCGTTTATGGTACTTGCTTTTACTAGAGCAGAAAGAGGGCTGCGGTGTTTATGGTACTCTCTTTATGGTGCTTGAAACTGAAAGGTACTGGCAGTGATTTACGGGAGAAAAGAAACACTACCAGACGTGAACATTCTTATCAGTGTGTACTTTGCACAGTTTAGAGTTTACACCACATTCGTGACTCAACTGATTATGATCTAGCCAATTCCAGGCGGTAACCTTCACAGTTCCAGTATGATCACTTTAATGTAAATTGTCAATCTGATCATTTCATTGGAGACCTCCATAATAAAGCATTCTGGGAAACTATGCAACAAATTGGGCTGTGCTAAGCTCAGGGGAGCCGAGCTGCGTGTGAACCCAAGGAATCTCTCAAACTGTTCTCATGTTGACATTTTGGCTAAAACACACTTCTAATGGCTGAGTGGCAGTCTGACAATTGAAGGTCTTCACGTTCAGAGATCCTCTTAAAAACGTCTCATGGAGAAGAATTGTTTCTCTCTTTCTTTGTAATTAATCACACTAAACTTTAACAGACTCTTTACTGCTGGCCAATCCTCATGTGAAGTCATCAATTCTGAATAACTTGTCCAATCAATTTCTTCTCCTAGCGAAGCAGCGATAACACAAAATGCATGAGCAATCAGTCCCTTCAGCAATAATTGCCATACTCCGCCTGAAGTACTGAGTCCAATGATGAGAACACACAGAATCAGCGTACTTTGAATGTGATACTCCTGTTTGGTTTGCAGGGGTTTGGGGTTACTGTAGAAGGTAGCTATAAATATCAGAATATCATTTTCTTTCTTTAGTTCCTGGCATTTCAACAACAAGGAGCTGAATCAACGCTGTATTCTCTCAAGTCAGGGAGAGCACAACACAGATGATTCTGCAAGATCCGCTGTATACTTAATAAATACATTAAAAATAAAAACAACAACAACATTACCACAGATATAACTAGCAGGCTGTGGTAAATGACAAAACATATCAGCGGAAACGCCTCATTTTGTCTGACATCTTCTGACTGCGTTTAAATGTCTTAGTGAATGGCCACGTGGGCATCACGAAACAAACAAACATTCATTTGAAGTTACTTTTGCACTTTGTGTCTGGATCTTTAAAAGTTTCTCACTGTTGGGTGTGAGTGTGCAATTGCCAAGCACCCGATCAGATTGCAACAGAACCCAGTGAATAATTCCCTAAGGGACTTATTAAAACGTGAGGCGTAGAAGAAACCAAACACAAATAATAATATCTTGGTGGCGAATGTCAACATTCAGAGCTGTGGCCAGCACCCTGCCAAGCAGCACCTGTTGAACTGGGATAGAAATGATCTATTACGGGGAATATTTTGGCAGATACTGTGTGAATACTACATACATTCAGATAATTCTAATAAACCAGAGATCATAATTAGCAGGAAGTGCACTTACAGAGCAGAATATACAAAAAAATTGTAATGGAAGTGGTCTAGCACGCAATAACTTATATACATGGTTCAAAACAGCTAAACAAAGTAAAATGCTATACTCCGTGTAACCTCGAGAGATGAAGGGTCCTGTGGACAGAATTGATTTCGAAGTCAAAGAACTCCATTGACTGGGAGGGAACAAGGATAGACATTCTCCCAGTTGATGAGGATACCTAAGTTTTGACGTAGACGCAACATTCAGGAAAGAGGACGACAGAGCAGCGCCCTGCAGTAAAGTAGGGCGACCACAGTCTTCAGCAGTTTGGTGAAACACCAGGGGCTGGAGGAAGATCGAAAGGGAATTACGTGAAACGCCACTTGGTCCCTTACCACAGGAATTGAAGGAGATTTTGGCAGTTCTTGGCAATAGGAACAGTGAGATATGCGTCCTGCAGGTTGAGTATGTAACAGATCACCTGGCACCCCGACTGGGTACCTCCGTTGAAGGATGCTCCTAGCGCTTCCTTAGGACTCCAAGCACTGCAGCAGACACCACAACCACCGAACCGGAGAAGCATATGAATGCTCTCAAGCATGTGAATGCTGCAAGCAGCTGAACAGGAAAAGCATACAATCAGCTTACAATCCAATTCCCCCAATAACGAGACGACACTTCGTTTTGAGGTCAAGCAGAACTGACTGGACTGGCACATACAGCCTCTTTTATTCAAAATCCACAAATATAGTACTGCCCACAGGGTTTTGAAACACAGCCAATCAATCCGTACAATACACACAGACACTCCCACACAAAATCCTCCCCTCTGCCTGTGATATGATTACTGAACACAATGGTTAATATAATTATCACAGGCAGAGAAATACAGTATTATAAAACACATCACAGGGACCCCAAAACATGCAATAACCCCATATATCCTTGGAACCGGGGGATCTGGGTGAACCACATATCCAAAATTCACCCAGATCCGTTCAGTACTTTGGAAGATACAGTTTAATGCAGATTCCACAGAACATATGCAGGCTAAATGAAAAACAATTACTGTATAATGTGTCCCCTGTTGTATAGTCCAAAACCACTGCACGATGTCTCTGTGCACCAAATACCGGCGAGATGGCATCGTGTTGAAAAGTCCAAACAGTGTCTGTGAGTTAAAATGGCCGCCATCCATTGTTCTCACCATGTGCCTCTGATACATGAAATGCTGGCCACCAGGTAACTCCACAGTACAGGGAGTGAAGAATTATTAGGCAAGTTGTATTTTTGAGGATTAATTTTATTATTGAACAACAACCATGTTCTCAATGAACCCAAAAAACTCAATATCAAAGCTGAATATTTTTGGAAGTAGTTTTTAGTTTGTTTTTAGTTTTAGCTATGTTAGGGGGATATCTGTGTGTGCAGGTGACTATTACTGTGCATAATTATTAGGCAACTTAACAAAAAACAAATATATACCCATTTCAATTTATTATTACCAGTGAAACCAATATAACATCTCAACATTCACAAATATACATTTCTGACATTCAAAAACAAAAACAAATCAGTGACCAATATAGCCACCTTTCTTTGCAAGGACACTCAAAAAGCCTGCCATCCATGGATTCTGTCAGTGTTTTGATCTGTTCACCATCAACATTGCGTGCAGCAGCAACCACAGCCTCCCAGACACTGTTCAGAGAGGTGTACTGTTTTCCCTCCTTGTAAATCTCACATTTGATGATGGACCACAGGTTCTCAATGGGGTTCAGATCAGGTGAACAAGGAGGCCATGTCATTAGATTTCTTCTTTTATACCCTTTCTTGCCAGCCACGCTGTGGAGTACTTGGACGCGTGTGATG